TCAAGATGATTACTTACATGTTGAAGGTTAAACATCTGATTTGTGGCAGATCCAGAACTCAATTTCAACTATCTTGACTTTAAGTCTTCTTTACAAGATGGCAGACAGTGATCATGACAAGCAAATGTATACAGTAGAGTGGTGTGTATTCATGTTTGACAGACCTGGGTTTTACGCCATCTCTTTCATGGTCTAGCTGTTTGACTTTGGGCAGGCCACTTAGAAGAAAATAGTATAACTGATTTCTCTCGTCTTTTAAGGAAGAAAAATGCTACATACTTCACAGGGCTGAGGTATGGGACTGATATTTAGGGTCATCATCTAACATTTTGTGCAAAGGTCTGCGTAGACTCATAGAGCTGATTTAGGTAGTCAGTTACAGATAACTAGACATAGAAGGAAAGAGGTATCTGGGCTTTTGTTTTCAGTCCTTCTCTTGTGCTTTTTAAAGCTTTATAATGTCTAGGGGCTCCTGGTTGGCTCATTCGGTTAGGTGGCCAACTCTTGATATCAGCTCGAGTCTTGATGTCAGGGTCATGAGTTCAAGCCCCCTGTTGAGCTCCATGCTGTGTATGGAGCCTACTTAAAAATAAGTAAGCAAATAAATAAATAAAGATTTATAATGTCTAAAACACTGAAACAAGAAGTAGATTTCTTTTGATCAGGCTGAAGTTTATCTAATTTACATTTAACGCTTGTATATTAAAAAAATCATAAAAGATGACACTTAAGCTACAAGTAAATACAGCAGTTTCAGCTTACAAACCAGTTCTCTCTCCATTTCTGAAGGTGAAAATAAAAATATTATGAGTGAATTCAGTGGAGTATTTAAAAAACAGGATGTAGCAGAGGTGTGAATTCTTGTACTTTTTTGTGAAATATTGGGAGGAGAGTATTTAAGGACATTTTTCTGAAGCTGAACTGAGGTATAATAGCAAGTGATGCATCCTATGTTAAAATGCTATTTAAAATAACTTTGATGTTTTAACGTGATCTGAACTTAATTTTTATCTATCAAAGGTACCCAAGAACTACCATAGAAGTTATCCATTTCAAGGAATTTATTATATAAAACCATCTGTTCTACAAATAGTAATCCTGACAGAACTGTTCAAAACAACCAGTCTGTTTGCTTTGTTATGATTAAATAATTGTTAGGCGGTTTTCATTTTACTACACTAATGTTAGTGACTTTACAAATTATTTTAAGTAGAAAAGAAATTAATATTTTTCATCCCTTTTATATATTAAACACTGTGCCAGATACTCTACACCCTGTCTTACTTAACATGTCAACAATTTATGAGGTAGATATAACCTGTATTTTACACATGAGGAAGCATACTCTGAGAAGTATTCTGCTTGACTTTAAAACCTCTGTTCTTTTTTTTAAGTTTATTTATTTCAGTAATCTCTGTATCCGACATGGGCTTCGACTCACAACCGGAGATTAAGAGTCACATGCTCCTCCAATTGAGCCAGCTAGATACCCCAAAACTTCTGTTCTTTTTGTTCTGTTTCTCCAGGGTACATCTCAGGTCCTTTGGGACCTGGCTGAAACTAGGCTAGTGGTGGAGGGTGCATCACCATGCAAAGGGATGGAGGTTTTAGAGTTGAACACGTTTGGGATGCCTTGGTGGCTCAGTCAGTTGAGTGTTGGACTCTTGGTTTTGGCTTAGGTCATGATCTCATGGGCCCAGGAATCAAGCCCTGTGTCGGGCTCAGCATGGAGTCTGCTGGAGACTGCCCCTCCCTCCACATGCAGTGAGCACACTCTCTCTCTCTAATAAATAAATATATCTTTAAAAAAAAATAAAGTTGAACATGTTTAGGGGAGTGGTAGATAATCAGCTATAACACAGCGATTAACACCTTTTGGTTTCAGGAGTCCTTTACATTCTTAAAAATTATTGAGGGCCCCAGAAAGCTTTCGTTTATTTACTGTACTACAAATTAAAACAAATATTTTTTAAAAATAATCCACTTTAAGGTAATAATAAACCCATTCTGTATTAACTATATGATAATTATTCAAAACAAAAAGTAGTAATTACTGAGAAGAAACATTTTTATATTTTTTCAAATTTCTTTAATGTCTGGCTTAATAGAGAACTGGGTTCTCATACCTGCTTCATTCATATGGTTGCAATGTTACATTTCACATAGCATGACATGCCATGTACTCTAGAAAACTCCAGTGTACACTCCTAAGAGAATGAAAATAATTTTTAAAAATTACTGTGTTAAGGTCTCTGTGTTCTCACATTTGCAGGTGAGGAAACACAACTTAGTATCAGGAAAAGAGTTTTAACTTCATGGACTCTCTGAAATGGTCAAGGGGCAGGCTGTCCCTGAACCATACTTTGATAACCAGTGAAGTAATGCATGGTAAGCATTAATGATGATGCTGAGAAAGTTTGTAGGGGTTAGATTGTGGAAGTTCTTGCATCTATGGTACAATTTATTCACTAGTTCAATACCAGTAATTTTGAAGAGTTCTATACTACAACTCTTAGAGTCACCTGGACAGCAGGCAGGTATTAAGAAAATACATAGTAACTGAACATTCTAGCAGTGTTTCCCCACCTCCAACCACTCACTCCTACCTCCTGCCTCAGTCTGCTTTAGTATGAGTCTTCACTTCTATCATTCAGATAGGTTCTAGTAGAAAAGCTAAGAATCACTACTATGGGTCTTTAGAGAGCCACTGTATGTTTTAAGAAGAGTAAGCAGTCATTTGACAGATTTGTGTTGTAGATAGTTGATTTTGGTGGCAGTATTAAGGATGGAATTAGTGATGAAGGAGAGCATTTTGGAAGCTGTTAAAATATAAGAAGTGAGATGAGGGCCTGAACTTGTAAGACAGCAGAATATAGAGTATATATAGGATCTGATAAGGATTAAGAAAGAAGTTTCAATGATTCAGTAGACATGGGTAGTCAAGGAGAAAGGAATATTTACAGTATGACTCCGAGGTTCCTAGTTTGGTGTACTATCACCCAAGTTAGAAGATACCATTTGGTATGGTTCAGAGTGCGGGAGGAGAAAGGAGTAGAGGGAACCAAGCAGAAGATGGTTGGAGGAAATTTCAAGGTAGAAGAGAATTAGTTTAGTTTTAAATGTGATAAACTGAGGTGCCTGAGATATTGAGTAGAAATATAGAGCTCAAGAGAGCTGACAGGATATAGTTAAAAATTTGGAAGTCATCATATAATCACGTAAGAGGTAGTTGAAAGCGTGGGAGCAAGTAAGTTTATTCAGACAATACAGAGTGACCAGCTTTAGGTTGGAGAGCAGCAACATTTAAAGAGCAGCCCAAAAAGGAGGAGCCAGTGACTGTCCCTGAGAAGGTGTGCTCAGAGAGGAGGAAAGGGAACCCAGAGGATGTCAGAAAAGCCTGGGAGAGTTTCAGGAAAGGAGTAGTTAGCAAAATTAAATACTTCTGGAGGATTGGTAAGGTGAGGTTGAGAACGTACCCATTCTCTTTGCCAAGTAGGACTGATTTGGTGACCACAAAAAGTGGTTTGGGTGGGATATGGGAAGAATTTAGATTATAGTTGATTGAGGAGAAAATAGGTAAAATGGGTATAAATTCTTAACATTTACATTTAACATTCTGAAAGTAGATGGTAGAAACCAGAGGAAGACAGATTGAAGGAGAGCTCCCTTCCCACACGCTGCTTTTCTTTTTTTAAGAAAAGATAGGTGCAATATTTTCCATGTTTCTTAACTACACGTATGTCCTCTTTTGTGAAATGATTGCTGTTTAAATATAATTGTAAAAGATAACAAGAACTTGTCCTTTGGTTAAATGAGATCTCTGAAGTTTATTTGAATTCTGGGTTTGAAATGTTAGAAAAAAGGAGGGAGGAAAGACGGGAAACCTGGAAGATTTTATGCTGCACAGCCTAAATAAGTATAAAATTTTTCTTTGTTAAACTGTTTAATATTGTGGCTTGTAGGTATTTTAAAAATCAATAACAGTTTTTTTGAGAGGTAATTGACCTACCATAAAATTCATTCAAGCTGTATAATTTAATAGTTTTTAGTATATTCACAAAATTGTGCAGTCATCATTATCATCAATTTTTATCACTCCAAAAGACAGCTCATGCCCATTAGCAGTCATTCTTCCTCCCTTTCCTACCCCCCAGCCCTAGGCAACCACTGATCTACCTTCCATAGATTTGCCTCATATAAATGGAATCATACAATAAGTGGTGTTTTGTGACTGAGTTCTTTGACTTAATATAACATTTTCAGGGTTCATCATGTGTTGCTGGAATCAAAAATATTTCATTTCTTTTTATGACTACATAATAATCCATTGTATGGATATACCACATTTTGTTCATCCATTGATGGACATTTGAGTTGTTTCCACTTTTTGTAATACTTTCTTTGTATATAATACATAAAATAGAATATTTTGTATTTTATGAATAATGCTACTATGAACATTTATGTGCACGTTTTTGTTAGGATATATGTTTTCCTTTATCTTGGGTATATACCTAGGAGTAGAATTAATGAGTGATACGGTAACCATTGAACTTTTTGAGCAACTGCTAGACTGGAGTTCACATTTTACATTCCCACCAATTTCTCTACATCTTCACTAACACTTGTCTTCTTTTTGATTATAGCCATCCTAGCGGAGTGAAAGGTATCTTGTGGTTGGCTTGTAGGTTTTTAAAATATCTTAGTAAGTTTATATAAATAGTGCTGTATGTTTAATGTGTCTTTCAAACCTAGAGTGATAAGAAATATTTTCTGTTTTTACATTTGCGACTGGTTTAGTTTCTTATCCATCCTTTGATGGGTATCTGTCCAAACATACTTTGATTCTAACTAACTTTGCAAGTGGAAGTAAACTTTTAAGTAACTCTCCCCACATGACTTACCAGAGACAGCATAGTACAAATTTAAAAGTGTTAACTCTCAAGAATGTTTTATTCTATGTATTTACTTTTAGAATACTGTTAATTTTTTTCCTTCAATATTTGACATTTAGTTTGAAAAAGTTTTTTGACAGTTTGAAACTGAAAGTAAGACATTAACATTTAGATAGATTAGAAATTTTTTGTTTATATATTAAACACTTCTATGTTTCTATAGCACTCAGTTCATTAGATTCATAAACATTTACATTTCTGACTTCCCCGACTGAGAGCCTCCAGGGCCAGCAACTGGGACTTAATTATCTCTGTATCCTCATTGCTTATTATAGTGCCTGGCACTTAATAGGCATTAATGGCCATTGCATGAGCAGAAATTGTAGTGAGCTTAAAACTGTAAGAGATTTATTCTTCAGGTGGATTCTTCAAATGATCCAAGGAGCTTGTCTTCTTAGATGAGCATGAGAACTGCTTTTCCCCCTTCTCTGCATATACACTTCTGTGTGTGCTTACACAATGTGGTTGTATTTTCAGTATCCACTGAAAAAGAAAATACGAGGTGAAGTACTGGACTGCATTCAGGAAAACTTTTAGATTAATAGGGTTTTATTAATTGTAATATCTTCTGCATAAATATGAAAAATAGTACATGTTTTTCTCTGGACACTGGTTGGTATGTGTAAGGATTCAGGGAACCACCTAAAGTAACTACTTACATATCCCCCCCACCCCGTGAATCCTACTTGGGGACCATTATCTTAGAATATTAATTTTAATAAAATATCTACTTTTAACTTTTGATTTTAGATTTCATTAATAAAATCCAGATATCATGTTACTGGCATTCCTTCAGAAATAGTGGTACCTTGTAACTTGTGGGTGTCTTGGGAGTGATTACAGCAATAGCTGTTGTTCTCTTCTTGCCTCTAGTTTCTTGCCTCATCCAATCCATTCCACATATCATACTCACTTTCCTAAAATACCATTTTCAAGTGTTGGCATCTGTGGGATAATAGAAAGCATACTGGTTGTAAAATCAGGATATATGAGTTTTAGTCCCTGTGTTGCTGCTTAGTTCTATTTTCTTTAATATGTTTATGTAGTACTGTATTGGAAACACGGTTTTATTTTTGGGGTACCTGGGTGGCTCAATTGATAAGCTTCATAACTCTTGATCTCAGCTCAGGTCTCCATCTCATGGTTTGTGAGTTCACGCCCCAAATCAGGCTCCATGCCCAGTGTGGAGCCTACAAAGAAAGAAAGAAACATGGTTTTATTTTTTATAAAAAAAAAAAAATGTAAGTTCAAAAACAACTCAAGGCTCCCTTTGGTGACCTTTAAAATTATTAGAATTTTCAGTGGCTAAGCCAAATCAAAGCATCAGATCCAAGCTCTGCTCATTTTCAAATTGTAATTACATGCTGTCTTCCCAATTTCCCTTTCTCCTACTCTCCCAATTTTGTAACTTTTGCCCTAGTTTAGAATCACAGCCCAATAGGATAAAGTCTACACTTCTTAGCTTGGCATTCCAGAGCCTTCTTAACATAGTCTCACATTACCTTTGCAGTGTTAAACTCCTGTACTCTATATCCCCTTCCCTCTAGAGTAAGCTATTTCTTGTTCTTGAGCATACCCACTGAATGAATGAAATCTTATCTGTGGTTGTACTATTAAACATACTTTTTCCATTTCTTAGAAAACTTTCCTTAGAGACCAGTACTTTGAAGATCAAAACACTAAAAATTGGGGTGCCTGGATGGCTCAGATGGTTAAGTAGCTGCCTTTGGCCCAGGTCATGATCTCCCAGTCCTGGGATCAAGCCCAGTGTTGGGCTCCTGGCTCGGCGGGGCATCTGCTTCTCTCTCTCCCTCTGCCTCTCTCCCTGCTCATGCTCTCTCTCTGTATCTCTCTGTCTCAAATGAATAAATAAAATCTTAAAAAAAAAAAATTAAAAATTTAGAATGACTTTACCACGTTCACTCCGAACTCAAAAGCAAAAATGTAATTCTCACTTTCTAGGGTAAATATTTTAGCCCAGTTTATCTTAAGAACTTCTCCATTGTAATATCTCATCGTAATCATATGTCTATTAATAATATCTCTATTGTAATAATATCTCCATTGTAAAATTTGATTTTTAACATCATGGAAAAAAGCCTTGCATTAGATTTGAGTTCAAGATTTGCCTAATGTAAGTCCAGTGGTATGCAGTTATTCTACACCTTAAATTACTTTCTAAAGTTGAACTCCGCTTCCAACATTTCATATTTCCTGTAGTATTTTTATTTTTATTTTTATTTTTTTATCCTGTAGTAATTTTTAGATTCTTAGGTTCTTTAGATTCTAAAAAAATTTTTAGATTAATGCAGTCAAACCCTGACAATTATCTCCTTCTCTATGAAATACACAAAAGTCTTGTTTCTATTTGTATATTATAATGTCTATGAACTGGTTTATGGCGGATATAAGTAGTTGGTCCCTCAGAGTTTTTCCTAGAGAATGTGGAATGTGGATCATGTTAATCTCAGAGGCTTTGGGATATATGCTACATTACATGCTAATCTTTATTTCTTGTAATAACTGTTCTTTGATGTAATCTGCATTTGAAAAGCTATTTAACAACATTTGAATAGCTACCCTGGTAGGCTCTGAAGGAATGCAAAAATCCCTGTATTGTATCCCTGTCATCTTTCCATGATTCTTGCCATCCACTGTTCATACATAAGATATTCCTGGAGTGGCCACTATGCCCTAGGTAATGTGTGTAGAATTGGCAATTGAAAATATGACATTTTCCTCAAGAAGTTTACCAACTGTGAACAGACTTGTGAGAAGCAGCAGGAAGTTTTCCTGGAGGCATTGGATGAGCTTCAGGGGATCTGTGAACCTTTTCAAATCATACATAATATTTTGTGTATAAGCCCATTTGGGGGGGTGGGGTAGAGAAGGTTCATAGCTCTTAGATTCTCAAGGGGCTTGGGTTGCAAAAACCTTAGACCTTCCAGGCTAGTAGAAAGATAGCAAGGTTTGGAGCCACACAGGAATTTTTATCCTGGCTGTGCTATGATTATAAACAGGTTATCTGGGGAAATTGTGGATATAATACCTACTTGGATGGACCAAGATCAAAATAGTTTGTATGTAAAGCTACTAACATAGTGTATACAAGGTACTCAATAGTAATTCAAGATGTCTTACTAGTCCAGTGGAAGTGTATTCAAGGTTTAAACCTTAGAGGGAGGATATGGACCGTTTCAGCAAGAGACCACATTTGAGCTGACTCTTGAAGGAAGAGTTTGTCAGATGGACTAGCATAAAAGGCATTTCAAATATAGAAAACTAATAGCGCTGGGGCGCCTGGGTGGCTCAGTCTTTAAGCATCTGCCTTCGGCTCAGGTCATGATCCCAGGGTCCTGGGATTGAGCCCTGCATCGGGCTCCCCGCATTGGGCTCCCCGCTAGGCGGGAAGCCTGCTTCTCCCTCTCCCACTCCCCCTGCTTGTGTTCCCTCTCTCGCTATCTCTCTGTCAAATAAATAAATAAAATCTAAATATAAATAAATAAAACCCAAAATTCTTATCTCTGTGTGTTTGTAAGCACTATTAGTTTTCTTTTTAAATATTAATATTTATAATTAATATAAATAAATATTTAATATTAATATATTTTTAAAATATTCCTTAAATCTGGTAATTTTACTTTATCTCAAATATATAAAGTAGTTTTTTATAGAGAACTATATAAAGAACTCTTTATATAGTTCTTAGATGGTTAGGTTAGGGTTTTTAATTGGCTCCTGTTAAAAGTGCCCTGTAAAAAAATTACATTAAAAAAGTCTTTAGGACCTACACATATTATTTATAGTGATAGACCTCTTGCTTAGTTTGGATTTCTTAGCAAATGTGAGTTTTGCATAAGATAACTCAAGAGGTTTTGAGACTACATGTTTGGGACCAGAACCAAAGTAAGAAATGAAAGGAGTTCTAGAGTCCATGACACCAACATGTGAAGAATAGTTTTTCTGGATACCTTCTTCTCATGTTATGTACTATGAATTTACTCATAAGTTATAGACCCTTTGATGTTAAAAGAAACATTAAAACTGTTTAAAAATTAAAAAGGAGCTTGTTGCAGGTTTTACAATAAGAAGTTGACAGAGTGGAGTTTGTCCCAAGTTATAAAAGCAGATGCTTTTTCTATGACATGGTGTTGCCTAGGCCAACAATTGCATTCTTACTATTTAGGAAGAAAGTCAATAAAAAAAAGTGGGACATGAGAAATACAGAACAATTCTTTGTTGGTATAGATTTTTGTTTGCGGCCTCCTTCCAAACTAGCTTAAGTGGAAAAAAAAAATTATTGTAATAGAATACTGCCCTTGAGCTGCTTGAAGCACAGGAATCAAGAAATGGAGAGCTGTCTATAATCTTGCCTTTTTTCTTCACAGCCCCTTTCTACAATTTATCAGTTTGTATGTGTCTCCAGGGCTGTTTGGATACTTGTCTTTGCTTCTTTGCACTTGCTTTATTCTTCTCTTTGCATTTTGGCTTTCACTGTTTGGGACTGCATATTCTGAAAAAAGCATCCCTTTTGGTGTCTAACCTGTCTTACTTTATTTCAGTTTAGGGTAAGAGATCAGAAAGACTAGAGTTGCTCAATCTCATTTTCACATTCCTCAAAGAATCCGTCAACTTGCCAGTGAGAGGAGTATTGTGTGAGGTGACCAAGGTAGGGAGCTTGTTTAGGTGTATGTAAGGGAAGGGACTTTTCTTAGGGAAAGAGAATGATAGTTCACTAGGCAGCAGTCTGAAGAGTACCTAGTACAAAAATCCGTGAAGCAAAACTGAAAAAAAAATTTTTGTTAACTATTAAGGTTTTAGCCCCAAGTAAACTTCTACCCACTTTCTTTCAGAGAAGGGGAAAAGAAGCATAAAGAGTCCTTATGACTTGAGAGAATATGGTGTTGCCTCTGGTAGAGCATTATTTCACATACCCAGTACATTTTAAACATCAGACAAGTGTTCATCTGTGTGAAAACTAAAGATAGTCTGTAAGCTGGACGCCTGGGTGGCTCAGTCAGTTAAGCGGCTGCCAGAGTCCTGGGATCAAGTCCCGCATCGCATCGGGCCCCCTGCTCAGCGGGGAGCCTGCTTCTCCCTCTGCCTGCCGCTCCCCCTGCTTGTGCGCGTGCGCGTGCTCTCTCTCTCTCTCTGATAAATAAATAAATAAAATCTTTAAAAAAAAAAGGTAGTCTATAAGCTGCCTATTTATGGTATCTAAAATTTAAATTATATTTCTTCAGTGTTAAAATGAGGAACTAGAACATTACCTTTTTGTAAGTAAATGTTATTCTAAAAATCAATTTTATTGAAATATTGTATCTAGTCATTCTTTGTTCACTCCTTGACTATAAATCCGAAGTACATCACTATCTGAAAGACCAATATATGTTCTTCACTCTAGGTTTTGCATCCGTAGCTCTCTTAGTTCCCAAATCGCATACAGAATTAAGTATCGTAGTACACTTGCCTTGCTGTCACTGTGCCGGCCCTGTGTATCTGCTTGCGTCCATGCCGCTCTCCGACGCCCTGTGTCTACTCATCTTTTCTCTGTCTACTATGTCCATTGACCTGTGTGTGCCTAAGATTTGTTAGTGTGTGTTGGAAATGGGTGTTAGAAATAGATCAGGATGTACTGTGTAATTTAGAAGTTTCCTGTTATTTATGCCTAATGTTTGTAATTCTTTACTTTTTTTTTTTTTAAATAAGTCCTACTCCTAACGTGGGGCTTGAACCCACAATTCTGACATCAGGAGTCATACACATACTCTACCGATTGAGGCACCCAGACACCTCTGTAATTCTTTACTTTTAATACTGTAAATAGTTTATACATAAATGCCAAGGAGGAACATAGAGTAGATGGGTATCAATAATAGGATTCTGTAACTGAAGTTACTGGATATGTTCAAGCATTTATCACTAAACCTATTCACTGGCATTATTAGATGTTCAAAATAAGTTTTTCTTATTTAATATACAATATGGATAATAGAAGATTATTAAAGTAAGAGAAATATGGTTTTAATGCTTAATATACCAGATGCTTTGGTTTTGTCATTTTTGGAAAAGTAAAGAGGATGGGTATTTTAATGGTTCTAAAGCTTGAAACAAAA